GGCATTGAATAACTCAGAAGTTGATACAATGCTAAATGTAATCAACCAAAATAAGTTTTCTGAAATTAATGTAGAAATTTTTCAAGTGGTTTGTAGAAGTGTTACCAACAGTTCAGTGTTGAACATGAAGCGGAACGTTTTGAACAGGTTATTTAGTTTGTTATATATATAACAAAGTATTTCTGGTATTAAAACCTATTTTTACACAAGTTTGGGTGTTGACTATTAGCCCATAACTGGGACCCTAACCGGCACTACCACCCTGGGTCAGGGTGGACCTGGGAACACAACCAATAAAGAGGTGGTTCCATGCTCCACAAAACCTCCTGATCAGAGGACTTGCTGTCTAATGTAGTTATTGTCTCATTCAGGACGCGGATATAGTTATACCCAGGACTGCCTTGCTTGGAATAAAATGATTAAAAATAAAATGAGGAGTTGACTGGCTATACAGAAATGTCAACCAATATTTCAATACAATTCCTGTTAAGGAATTAAAGTCTATAGAATTTGACACTCACAGAACATATTGAAGGCAAGAGGGAAAAAGAAAAACTATGACTAAACCATCTTGTATTAATTGATGGCAGTGTAGTAATTTAGAGAAATAGTAACGAGATAAACATTGCAGTTTCATAATTTGATTCTGCATATCTTATTCCATATATGCCACAGAGGAAGGTCATGATATCAAGTGTGGGGGGTCACTTCCTGGCAAGGTGTGGTCCACCATAACCCTTTCAAGTCCACATTCATGTAATTGATGTAGACAGCAAAAAATATTATTGTTCATTTCAGTAAACATATCTAAATGACTTGGTCTTAGAAAAATAATATTATTGAATGTTGTATTATAACAATGGAACACTATATCCGCTTTATCCCATATCAATGCATTTTTGGGACAATTATGTCCCACAGAATGTGTTGAAAACATCTGTAGGACACATATGTCCCAGGGGACTGTAAAGAGTGAAGGGGATGCCGACATTTCACATTGATTGGATTGGCTAAAATCATAGACTCTAAAAATGATACCTCCTATCTTCCGTGATACAGGGTGTTCCTAATGACTTTCTTTACTTAACACTTTCAAGTCCACATTTGCTTAACTGATGTATACAGCAAAAAAATATTATTGTTCATTTCATTAAACATATCTAAATGACTTTGACTTAGAAAAAAAATATTATTGAATGTTCATATAAATTAACAAAACACTGGTGTCTTGGCAGACATTTTCTATTGGGAAAATTTGTCTCAGGAGACCATGATAAACAGGGCTTAAAAAAACAATCAGTTTTGTCACTTTCTTCTACATAATTTGATGCACAAATTATAAATGCTGAAATCTTCATTCATTTTTAGACAATTTATTTCATCTTCAGTCATAACGATTCATCTTACATCTGCAAATATTTATTCAAAAGCTACATATAATGTAGGCTAATAATATTATTATTTGTACATATATAGGTATACCTCAGGTTACGTCATTTCAAGTTGTTATGGATATGTTGTTTGTCAAAAAAATATATGGAAAATATTTACCCCCCACTTAAGTATAAGACAGTCTTTTGTGACTTATGAAAGTAAAACATAAAAATTGTGAATGTGTGAAAGAGCGAAACAAAATGTAATGATCAAAACAAGAGAGATAAAGATACTTGTCCAAATTAATAAAAGATTGTCATTAATAATTTTCAGAAGGATCTTAGCTTCAGTTTGTCTTTCTTTGCTTAACCTACATTCATGTAATTGATGTATACAGCAAAAAATATTATTGTTCATTTCAGTAAACATATCTAAATGACTTTGACTTAGAAAAATAATGTTATTGAATGTATTATTATAAATATAGCAATGTGACACTGTCTGCTTTATCCCAGATAAATGCAATATTTTGGGACAATTATGTCCTGTAAGATGTGTGGAAAAAATCTGTGGGACACGTATATCCCAGGGGACATGAAAGGGTAAACATGTAAGGCTATACCAAAACATATAACACCTACAATAGATAATCTACAAACTATATATCTATAAAATACTAGCAGCATGGCCCGGCGTTGCCCGTGCTTGATTAAAAAATAGTACGACTAATACAGCAATCGCTATCACTTGACTTAAAATATTTTTGCCCTTCCTTGCCTTTAGAGGAGTGCCCTTTGCCATGCTGATGTTGTTACATGCCTTACTTCTTGCCTATATCACACTGCCAACTTTTTCTAAGCTCTATAGTAAACATTAAATCTGTTACGAAAAAAGAACTAAACAAAATAAACACAATACGATCAGCTTTAAAAAAACGGAAAAAACATTTTTTAGGGTTGACCGATTGTCAATTTGCCCTCTGTTTGGGGGGGGGGCTCAGTGTTGAAACTTCACATGATGACTCCCAATGGCCTCTTCATAAATCCATTCGGTTTTCGCTAAAAACCGACATGCGCTTCAGACGCAATCTGGGCGTATTGGTTTTGGGGTTTTATCGATTTTCCGCGCTGTTTAGGGGTCCATGGTCATGAAACTTCTGGACAACACTTCTAATGGTAGACTCTAAGAGGCTGTCAAATTTGGTTGAAATGCGATCATTCCTTCTGTAAGCAGAATTTTTTCAATTATCGATTTTTTTTTTTTGGAACCTGATTCCGAACTCAAAAATTGGGCTCCGTCATGTCCTTATGACAGCCATTTGCAAACTTGTGTTAAAAACCGCATCGAAATCGGGTGAGAAATTTGGCCTGGGCGAGGTAACAACGCCCACGACAGACACACAGACAGACAACATGAGAAATATAGATAGTAGATATATTTACCCTGAAAGTATAAATTTATATAAAAAATATCAGTAGTTGAAGGCATAAAATTGCATAAAATATATTTAGATTTTGGCATTAAATAACCCATTGAGGTGTTGATATGTCACTAAAAATAATAATGGCTAAAAGTTAGGCCCACTTTGCCAGGAAGGGAAACTACTGCTTAGAATATATCCATTAAGCTGACAAGTGTGAATCTGATATCTTCACAAATTTCTAAGCCGAAGATGTTGAGTTCAATCCTTGGGACCACAAGAGTTGGCATAGTTAACAGATATCATTGTATATTCTTTGTATTTTGTTAAGTATCTTTATATACATAGCAGAAGCACAAGCCCAGATGTGGCACTGATGTTCAATGAAGAGAAGAGACTTATAAATGTCTAAGAGAGATTCTGTCAAGTAATGGGTCATTTTTAAATGCAAAATAAATGGCAAAATTGCCCAACAAACAGAATTGTAAAAGTTTGCGATAAACAAGAAAAGAACAGGGTAATATGCTAAAAAGTTCACAAACTAAGAATTGGGGGCTGACACACAAACTCTCCAGCTATAGAATCTCTGGCAGTCTATGCAGTTATCAAGTTGTAGAGTGAGTGGCCATGGTTAAATGTAAAATAAATGGCAGAACTGCCCAACAAACAGAATTGTAAAAGTTTGCGATAAACAAGAACAAAACAGGACAAAAATGAATAGAAAACAGTCAAACAATATATGCAAGGCAAATTAACAGTAATAAGGCAAAGCAACAGTAATATGGCAAAGTTCACCAAGTAAGAATTGGGGTAAACACACAAAGGTAAATTCGGTTAAGTGAACGTAGCATTCTGACTTCAATACAAGACAAACTGGGACCGAGTCAGATGAAATTGAGAACTGGCCTGTTTTATTGACTAGAAAGAAATCCCAGCATGCATTTGTGTGCTTCTGCCTATAAATAGGGGAGGGGAATGTTTTGCAGTCATTCCTTAGAGTTTTTTTTTTTTTTTAAGGATCCCTGTGAATATGTGGTATTGTGTTGTGTGTCGGATTAAATGGCAATGAATGAGTTCTTGTGGTGAATGAGTAAATTGTAATGTATGAATAAATGGGTCATGATTCTGATTAGCTAGGTTTAGGATAGTTAATGTAGACCAGTCCCCTCTCTACTTCCTCTTGGCCTTGTGCCACACTTGTTATTGATTTAACAATAAATCAACATCCCTAACAATTAGAACAAACAGATTCTGGTGAGAAAAATTGTCTAGGACATCAACTTGAACCAAACTAAATTCAAAACACTTAAATTAGTAAAAAAAAAAAAAAAAAAAACATGGCACATGAAACTAGAACAGTCTACCCCAGTGAGCAAAATAAAGGGTTCAGTTTGACATTCTAACCACCTGAAGAAGTCCAGAGTGTACAATGGCCAAAACGTTGTAATAAATATGTTGACAAAGATGAGGACAATAGCCTGAATAATGTAAATAGTGTACATAATACCTCACCTCAGAAATATAGACAGATACTGAAAGGCCGAAACGTAATAAATATGGCAACAAAGATGAGGACAATAGTCTGAATAATGTAAATAGTGTACATAATACCTCACCTCAGAAATATAGACAGATACTAAAATTAGAAAAAAATTGTTGAAAGATTATCAGAAAATTTACATAATTAATTTGATGTTAATGTAATCCTCATAAAAAAAAAAATGCCAAATTGAGTAAATTTTATGATGATCTTTCAAGAATTTTTTTTCTTTCTCAGAGAAATGGCATAGTTTGGACATATTACAAGGTATGATAACCTGTGCAAAAACATCATGCAAGGCACTGTTAAAAGTTGGATGTAGAAGAGGAGGCCAATGTAAAAACTGGTTGGACAATATCAAACAATGGACAGGTATGACTGTACCAGAATTGCTGATGGCTGCAGTTGATAGACCATTGAAAAGGAGATTTAGTGTGTGGTCTCTTTGGATTAACCCCTCCCCACCAATTAAAAAAAAGTCAAGGGGATGATGATGATGTAATCCTCATGCAAAAATGAATTGACTAACAGATCATTTTTTGTTTCTATAATTAACGTGCATTTTTTTTCTTATGTGCGATGATTATAACAGAACTCAATTGAATGTTAAAAGAATACAGTGAGTGATTTTTTTTTTTTGACTTGGGTATAGTCAATAAAACTGACCGGCAGTCAAAGTTTTACCAGGGTGAATTGCCTCAGTCAACTTGGAAGGCATTGAGAAGCTTCTTGCTGTCATAAGCTTCAAGACATCAGCTGGAATATCTTCAAGTCTGTGACAAATACAAACAATATTTAAAAAAACAAAAAATAAATCTCGAGGGCTGACTAAACGAAATATAAGTTGAGAAATCCTTTCTGTTGATTTAGACGATTGGAAAGAAATATTTACATTCAAAAAAGCAAAATACGATCAGTAAATAATTCCATGAAAAATTTGGCCAAACATTATTGTTTTTTATTTTTTTTTAAATTGTCTACTATTTTTTACCCAGGTATTTAAAAAAAAAAAAAAAAAAAAAATTAGATAAATTGTGGAGAAGCCAATAGGAACCAAGTCCACAAGAAAACAAGGCAATTCAGATAATAACAAAAAAGAAACTGAAAAGAGCCATAATCCTCTATATCCTGAAGGAATATGGCATTAAAACAAAAGTATACTTGAATAAATCAAGGATTAAAACTAGTTTGATGATGCTGTGAAAAATGGTGGCATATTTTGTTAATCTTATAACTGAAGTCTTTTCTGAAAATAGATTTTTTCAGTTATTAAGATATCGGGAGGGATCAGTTTAATACCTAGTAATAACAGGAAACTTATCCCCGATTTTGTGTCCTGTATAGAATGTTATATTAATACTAGTTTACTGATGTCATTAAAAAAGATATTTTATGCAATTAGCATGATTAGAAGGGTTGCGTTTGTGTCATAGGCTTTAAATATAGAAATAAATCAGAAAAACAAAAGGCAAAACACTTATTTTAATCTCTCAAATAGACAAAGCTGGTATATTTCTTTATCAATTGGGGTATGTGTATGTATATGCATCCCTGTATATACACATGTCCATTAAATAATTGTCTAGATGCAACTTTTATGTTTTTATGTTTTAATGTTTTTTGTGTGCAAATTTTGGTGGATTCAGTAAATGATTTAAAATTATTTTTCTGAAGCAATCTATTGTATAACTAAAATATATATATATATATATATATATATATATATATATAATATATGATAACGTGCAGAATCAATTTTAAAAATTCAATGAATTATTCACACAAAAACTAATGCAAGGTTAATGATTTATTTGGCATAACCATAAAATGGATAAACAATTCAAATAATATACAAAAACCTCTGAATCCGTTATGAATCCGTTCAGGTATAGAATAGATGTTTGTATATTATTTGAATTGTTTCTTTGACCTATTTCGCCAATTAAAAACATTTTGCATTTTGTTTTTTGTGAATAATTCATGAATTTGTAAATTGATTGCATGTTTATCGTAATTTAAATAACTGATCCAAGTGCGACTTTTGGATAATAAGTGCGACATTACTGTAATTATTGAACAATATTGTTCATGCCACTTTGACAGAAAATTTACCAGTAAAAAAATTTGTTCATCACCATATTTTATATGATCGCACAACCTTTAAAAATTTAAAATCAAACTCAGCGTTGCTACAGCGCGCTCCAAAAACAATAACTCATTTTCAATAGCATTTTCGGATACAACAATACATATATTTTCGTTGTCCTCTTATTACTAAGAAAAAAAAAAACAAGAACAACATCTATTTTATACCTGAAGATGTCTGTAGGAACAGACGAAAGCTTGTAGTAAAAATAAGAACTAATACGGCAGAAATTTATATAAACAAGGATCTTTTCATTCATAACGGATTCGGAGGTTTTTTTGTATATTATTTGAATTGTTTGCGATGATGGATTTCTCGCCAATTAAATCATTAACCTTTGCATTTGTTTTTGTGTGAATAATTCATGAATATATATATATATATATATATATATATATATATATATATATATATATATATATATTGTCCTCATCTTTGTTGCCATATTTATCACAACGTTTTGGCCATTGTACGCTCCGGCCTACTTTCAAGTGGTTGGAATGTCAAACAGAACCCTTTATTTTGCTCACTTTCTCAAGGACATATGGCACATTGGATAAAGGTGTAAGTTAGATCCAGTGACAGGACCCAAAGATTGTGAGTTCAATAACTGGTTAAGTCAGTGGAGAAATTGGAGAAGGGAATTAACAGGAGATAGCTGACATCCATTACACATGGCATGTGGAACTAGAACAGTCTACCCCAGTGAGTGAAATAAAGGGTTCAGTTCAACATTCCAACCTGAAGAAGGCCAGAGCGTACAACGGCCGAAATGTTGTGATAAATATGGCAATAAAAATGATGACAATAGTCCGAATAATGTAAATAGTGTACATAATAACTCATCTCATATATATATATATATATATATATATATATATAGTGTGTGTATTGAGCACTGGTTTTTAAAAACAAATGCTAAAGAACTCTGGATTATAAATCTGTTCTTTCTTTTTATTTTTGATAATATCATGCAACAAAATCCAAAATTACCTCATATAGGGGAGGGGATAGATCTATTTCAACTGACAAAACTTCATCTGTCTTATTCAACTCTGGTGTATAAACTGTGTTCATGTTGGAATTAGAAATTTAACTTTGACAACCGTCGAAAAATTGATACAGAAATTAGCCATTTCTATGTGTCAGCCAGATGAAACGCCTGAGATGGTGTCATAGTTAAATTTCTAATTCAGACACGAACACAGTTTATACACTGGAGTTGAATAAGACTGATAGTCCCAGTATACAAATATTGAAATATAATCCATATGAGGAAAAAATATTGATGTAAAAATATATTTTATATGCTCTGTTATAAAATACATTGAGCTCTCTTTGTGGATCAGTTTTAATATTTGATATTGCTATTATCCACTTGGATTATATACCAATAGATTTGATATTTTTACTATATATATAATATATATATATATATATATATAAAATATATATATATATATATATATATATATATAAAAATAATATTAAAAAACTTTTCCCAATTTGTCATACTCTTTTTTTTAAATACTATTTGTTGATATACAAAATTATACAAAATTATGTATCATTTTGATATATATATGCCCCCTCTCATAGGTTGATCACTTTGGAAGAAAGGGAATTTGTTGGCTGCTGTTATAAAGGCTAAAAGTTCTTTCTATGAATTGAGCACTCTGGTAACTGGTAATGCTTATATCTCATATGTAAGGTGTTAAAAATTCCCTTTCTCTGCTGCATGAGCTGATGGCCTAAGGGTGAGAGTCTTCAATTGATGTCAAATTGGTCAGGTTTCGATCCCAGCTTGAAGCAATCACATGTTTAGCCACACTGATCAGCTGTGATACAGCAAAACAGTCTGTGGATGACACACACACACACACACACACATATATATATATATATATATATATATATATATATATATATATCATAGATTCACACAACAATACTGAAAATTTTTTTTGTTCCCCTCCATTAATTTTAAATTCATTCTTTTTTGACCCAATGTATATCCTATCAGTGTTAGGACTCTCAATGGATGAGATAGTGCATTGATATATACAGATTTTATGAGGCATTTATTTTCCAACGGGCAGTCTTCAGGGTTTCTACAATCACATAATTTTTCATTATTTTTATGTAATTTTAGTTTAGGATTTTTTGTTAATAATTGTTGGAACATGTTTTTCCAGGATTTTATTAGGTTTTTTATGATTCTTTGTAGATTTTCAATGTAACTGTAACTTAATTTTAAGGTGTTTTTATTAAAGATATCGCTAAGTCTGCTATTAGTAGGAAAGTGTTTTTTCAATTAAAGCTAGGAATTTATGTCCTAGCTTAATAAACTCATTTGGTTGAATGGAGGGTATACCAAAATATTTTTTCTTTTCCTGTTTTTGTTCCTGTTAGTGCTGTTGTTTCTATAACTTATGTTAGCATTTTTGTATCCACTATTTTTTAGGGCTGTGTTATAAAAATTACTGTGTTGTCGGAATATTTCCTTACTAGCAGAGTTCATGCTGATTCGTTTCTCTGTTGATGTGGGTATATGCTTAATTATAGATGGAGGGTGGTTTGACTTAGGGTGTACATACACAAGATTAGTGTTAGGTTTTCTGTAAGATAGGTATATGTTATTCATTAAGTCTTTACAATATTATTATTATATATATATATATATATATATATTATTATTTACAATATTATTTTGTACAAATAAAGTCAAACCAAGATTCATGAACAGGATAACTTTTTGGCAATTTCACAAAATATTTGAACTCCTATCCTCATCTTTATTATTTTTATCTTAATATTTCAACTAGGAATTTGCCCTTTGTCAAAGAATGTATGATATCCTAAGGTAATTAATGATAATCACTTCAAGAGTTGTTTTGTTTTCCTGTCTTCTCTCAACACATCTGGTAATCAAAGAAGGCAAATGAAAAAAAAAATATCAGCTGAAATAATGTGATTAAAAACAACAAAGATGAGGATACTCATATTAGCTGTGATTGTTTATGTGATGTGGAAATATTTTAAATAATTACTCATCAAAAGTTAATTATTTTTCATTATTTAAATATGACTAGTATAAATAAAGAGAAAAATTCAGATGAAAGAAAAAAGTGAAAAATGAATAATGGTCGACGATGCTTCATCTATGTTATATAACAAACCAAACATATAAGCCATGCCATCTTGCAGGGAAAAAAAACTTTCTGGACTCTTAAAAAAAATCCATTATTTAAATATCAAATGCTTTTCTTTGTTGACTTTATTAGAACGCAAGAGAAATTCTATATTGTCAAAATGTTGTTGTTAAATATAAGCAGAAACAAAAGTGTGATCAGCCATTGAAACAGCATTCAGAATGAGACTGACCACCATTTTTCATATGCAATGTTTGAAGAAGTAAACAGAATAGCCAAAACATTGTTTTGAGAATATGAAACAAAATCAAAAATAAAAACCTCAAATCAATAACCATATGCACAGGACTATATATATGTGAGAATATAGAAAAGACAAGGTATGGGGAGAAAAGACTGATTTGGAGCTCTGGATACAATCCTTTGTAACCTTTTGCTATATTAACATTTGCTTTTTATTCTACCTGTATTTACA